GCGAGAACTATCACTTGACAATCAAAATATCACGTGACAATCAACTTTAAATATGTTAATAATTCATACTCTTAAATGACTCGTAGACACTTAAATAGAAGAACAAAAATCAAATATTAGGCATTGAAATAAAAATAAAAATGAGCACAAAAAATGTAATTTTTTCAAGAAATTTATTGTTTGAGATGACAAAATTAATCCAATAATTTTCACTTAGTTGCATTACTAACAAATATTTTTTATATCATACTCGTGACATTATCTACTTATCAAAGATAATTTTATAATACTTTGTATTAGTTAAAAATTACTTTTTAAAAATTATAAATTTTTTTAACTATACAAACAAATGTAACATTAAGTTATTTAGTCTAAATATATATAAAGTTCAATTAAGATTAAGTTTAGAAAAATAAAAGACATATAAAGTCCAATTATGATTGCTATTAATGAAACAAATAGTTGGCCAATGAAGAAATTTACAAAAAACAAAAATTGTTTCATCCATTTAGAGAGAATATCGACCAACATATCATTGGTGACATAAAATTTTTGTAGCTAATAACTTGTTGAACTTTTTATATTAGTCAATCAACATGAATAAATTTAGTGATCAAACTTTTTGGTTTGGACGTTGAATGTGTACTTTTTTTTATAGCGGTGACGATAATAATTGTTAGAAAACATATCCCACATAGAATAGTTAAAAAAAAAAAGATGAATAATATATAAAGTTGATAAATGACCACCCACCATAAGATTTAAATTTTTTGAATGAATCATAATCTCAACAATCTAACTCTATATGGTATCAAAACCCCAAAGAGGCCCAACGGCCTAATAAAGATCCTAGAGTCTAAATTACTTGACAAATCCAAAAAGATGGACTGCAAGTGATAAAAGTGTTAAAAAAATATCTCACATTGAATAGTTAAAGAAAAGATGAGTAATATATAAAGTTGAAAAATAACCATCCACCATAAGATTTAAGTCTTTTTGGTAGAACTCAATCTCAATTATATAACTCTATAATAATAGAGGTAATAAGTAAGGGTATGAATTAAATTAAGAAGTGAATGCATTGTTAATATTGCTTGTGCAATTAGCATAATAACAAGAAAATATGCATGTAATTACTAATGTTCTTGGGATTTAGAATTATATAACTTTCAATATTTAAAAAGAAGTTGTGAGAGATAACGTGTGTGTATATATATATATATAAAGATTATGAAAGCATAAAAGATATATGAAATCTATTTATAATAAAGAAAAGATAGAACATAGTAAAATAAGGAAGATACATTTGATGTGAGAAAACTTCATTTTAGTTGTCCAACCATTGATTTTTTTTTTCTATTTAGGTCTCCAACCTTTAATTATTATTATTATTTTTTTTCAATGCCTAACTTTTTTTATTTTATTTAAGTGTCTATAGTCACCTAAGAGTATGGATTGCCGATGTGTTTGGAGTTGATTATCACGTGGTATTTCTTATCGTCATGCGGTATTTTGACTCGTCATGTGATAACTATTGCTGAATACGTCAACAAAATTGAGTTTCAAATGAGTTCAAACACTAAAACAAATAAAAAAAATCAAAACTTAAGTAGTAAATTACTAAAAATTAATGGTTGGGCCAAAACAAAAAAAATAATCAAAAGTTGAGCACCAAAACATTCTTTTTTTCCTATTATTATTGTTATATATGTCATTTATTATTGGTGAATATAATATAAAATCATTTTTAGGATTTTGAAATAACTTAAACTTTTAAATTAGGAAAATATTGGTAATTTTGTACAATATTTTTAATGTGTATGCCATCTATTGTTTGTACATATAAATAAACTTAACCTATGAATATTATTTCATATAATAGCTTAATTAAACTTTAAACTTCTAGCTTGAATATTTCTTTGACATCTACGAGTATATTTTATGAGAAATAATTATTCAAGGCACAATCATATAACATTTGATCTTAGTAAAAAAAATATATTCACATATACAATTAAATTATCTAGCTAAAAGCTGTTTTACAGCTGATGAAACAATCCTCTTGTTCTTCGTTTCCTCATCCTTCACATAATCGAGAAACTAGTTTGGCTAAATCCATAGAAATCTTCTTTATCCTTATCTGGTAGTTAGTATAAAACTAAAATCTTTGCTTGTCTGACTCTGATCTCTCGAATTAAAATTCAGAAAACATAATCTAAACATTTTTAATTCTCAAACCTAGAATCTTACATTACCCGAAGACACAATTAAAGTATAACTTTATAAGACATGAAGAATTTTGAATTCAATAATTGAATTGGAATCTATCCAAGAAAACTTAAATTTTGATGAGCCACGTATTCTCAATCCTATATTTTACTTTATTTTATATTTTTAGTTTATGCGACATTCATTCTCCAACAAACAAACGAAAAGGAAAAAAAAAAACATTTTTCTTGCCCTCAAATCTAATAATCTTACTTTTCTTGAAGATTCAAATAAAGTACAACACATTAAAAAACAAACATGGAGAATTAGCTGGGTTTTTGTTCATGACATAGATTTTATAGTCTTATTATATCTAGATGAAGATTAGCAACTTTCACGCCTTTGTCATGGAACCGCAATTTACGCTGCAAATTAATCCTGTCCAGTACCGTAATACCAATCCAGGTCCACATCCCACATATCATTATCTGTAGACATTGGCGTGCTACTAATTTCCCCAGCATGAGAAGCGTTACCTAGGTCTCCTGAGCATGAACTGTCAGGTGAGCTTGTGTTCTCCACTCTTAGCTGGTTTTGATGAGATGCTATTAGCTCATTACCACCAGAGGCTGGTTGAGTTCTTGCCTCAACCACCTCAAGTCCCACCGGCCGTCTGTCGAATGCTCTCAAACATTTTGATTTCTTGTACACTCGGCACAAACTGAATTCATGCCTCAACTGCAAGTCACACAAAGAAATTGTATTGCAATAAATACAAGCCTTTTATTACTTAACTTGTCAATATTTCTATTACTGAGGTACTATAATCTTAATTTGCGTTATATAACTCAATTTGGAATTAGAAAATGGAAAAAGTATCAGTTTGCTTGTAGAAATATGACCAAAAGGGAAGAAGAAACCAGCTTGTTTCAAGCAAGGATTATCAGCACAACAATTTCATAGGGTTTTTCACATAAAATAAAGTTCACTATTGTTTAACTTGTGCAGCTATCTATATCCTATCAGATTGTAGTAAATGGTCATTTGTTTGTTTAATCAATAACGGGATTAGTGGGTAGCTTAATTTATGGCTTTCTTTGGCTGTATATAATCTAACATCAATTATCCAATTATGATCTCGCAAAAACTTAAACGAAATGAATACTTTTCTCCCTTAATTAGGAAATTAGTTTTTTTTTTTTTTTAGAAGAATTAGGAAATTAGTTACTCCATTAATTAATAACGTTAATTTTAAGCCAAAATGAAGGGTATCAAAAATTCTTATAATTAGCCCTAACAAACTACAGGTTGAAAATGAGTAAATTAACCTTAGACTCGTGTAGTATTTAAAGTAATTAATTCACCTTTGGACTTTCACTACATGAAGAGGATGCTTCTCCTTGATCTAGAGCTTTGTATTCATTCATTTTCCATTCAGTCTTTTTTCCATTTGGAGCCCTTCCACAGTAGAAGACCATAGTTCTTTTCAAGCCAATGCTGCGATTGTTGGAATAGACGAACCCAGGAGAGCCAGTTGCTTTCCAGTACCCAGTATTCGTTTGTCTCTTTGGCCTTCCTCCACGAGCTTCACTCTCTTGTCTTCGAATGAAGAAAAACCACTGTTCAGGGTCTTTAATATGGTGCAAGCCTCCTGAAAATTCTGTTCAAAACAAAGATACTTAGTGACTAGCAAGAAGCAAAAACAACAGGATTTCATGGGATTTGATGATTGATGACCTCTTGTATTCATCCTGGTAACACCTCCTTCTTCCAAAATACATTAATCCATCCCTTAAATTAGAAATTATGCTGGTTTGGTTTTTTATTTTCCTACTTAATTTCCAGGATTTTTTTTTTTTTTTTGAAATAGTTTAATTATCTTTCATATATAGCATTCAAATATGTCTTTGTTAACCTAAAATCCATGGTAGTGTAAAGATATTAGAATGAATTATGTAAATTTCTTGGGACAAAAAAAAAAAAAAAAACCCTTACCTTTGAGTCAAAAAAATGTGGAAGAGAAATGATATTGATAAACAATACGTTCATCTAGACAAGGAAAGTTTGACAAGAATGCCATGTTTTATAGCTTAATTCAGACTGTTAACATACTGTGGCCAAGTTATAGCGTTATCAGATATGCTATATGGCAGGTGAGTAGTAAAAATTTCCATCATAAAAATAATAATACAATAAAATAAACAAAATTAGAAACTTAGATTAAACCATATCCCACAGATCACCTTTTCCTTGCAAACTCAGTGCAGCAAAAAATAACTTACATTAAGAATAGAAAAACGAAAAGAAACAAGAAACAAGAATAGCTCAAACTAAAAGGAGAAATCTTTTACGTGGAAGATCCCATGGATTGTGCTCATATATATCAAGGACCGGTATAATCTGGTTAATGACCTGGTTAAGGTCCTCACTCCGGCCTTCTAGCTTGTGATGAAGATAAAATGAGATCAGCTCTCCTTCTGTAGGAAAGAAACGATAACCTGGTGGAAAATCCATTTTAATATCTCTTTTCAAAGACAAAAATAAAAGGTAAATATAGCAATAGCTTGGTCTAATATAAGTTTGTTTTGTTTCATATGCTGTGACCTGTGTTAATTTCACGTAAACAAGTATGCAATGGACAGTTATATATAATCTGATAGGTTATTGAGGACCAAGAAAGTTAGGCCGGAGAGCAAATTAAAGAGAAATGAAAACCGAGTGAATTTGGAAAGAGAGGCACCTGGGGAATGCCGAGAAATTTCCAATTTGTCTATATCCGTGCAAGGCCCACGATGGAATCGGTCAAATTTTTTTTTTCTCTTTATTTTGCAATTCCTTGCTTATATGTCTTTACAAATTTTGAAAATTGTTATTTTCATAAATTAATATAAAATTATTTTTGAGAGTCATACAACAATATCTGCCAATTTGATTCACAGCACAGATGCCCTAAAGCGTTCTTCTTTTGAGAGGAATGCTTTAATTTTCTTTATCAAATTAAACAATAATACATATGGACTTAACTATTATTAGTCAAACCAATACTATTTCACCGTTAATGTTTAAACACACAAGTTATTTTAAGAACATATTTTAATTAGAAGTACTCCGGCGGTATATCTGAAAAATTAAAAAACTATGTTTTAACCCTGTCATTTTACAGTAGGCAAAATGATACGTGGCATGTCTTTCTACAAAATATTGGTGGGAAAAATCCGGTTGATGAACATTACTTTCGGCCGATACTGATATTTTAAGATTGACAGCGACAGTCGCAAATAGTTTTGATTCGCATGTTGACTTCTGAAGCTGATCACTACAAGCCAAATATATACACAATGATGTCTCGATATCTTGGTTTCGAAGAAGCTACCTGTGTTGTTATGTTAACGCGCTTATGTTCCTTCTTTGAAGCTTGCCTTTGTGAAGCCAACTCAGCCTAACTCAATAGCTAGAGAACCCATAATCAACTCGAAATGATCCTCAAAAAATCATAAAAGTCCATAGAGATATGAATGTCACACTTTAAACATATAGAAGAGGAGCGATAAGTTTTTAAAACTCCACAAAAGGTTTTAACTCTTGATAAATTTGGATAAACGCCATAAAAATATTAATTCATACTAAATTTGATAGTTCTTAAAAGAATTGAAAAGAGAGAATAATCTCATAAAATATTTTAATTGATCAAAGGTTTTTTAATAATCTCATTTACATTATTTTGCCTTATAAAGGTTGTTGGAATCGAAATTGAAACAAGGCATTTAAGTTTGCCTAAAATCCAACAAAACAAATTAATTCAAGTCTCTTAAAATTTGCCAATTTGACTTGGATAGATGTAGCTAATACATCCGGACTAAGAATGGAAGAACCAACCATGAAGTTATCCTACTTAATTTTGGCAAAAAAGCTTGAAATTCTACAACCACTAGCTTGGGATTATGCGCCATAATTTTGCTATAAATTTGGTCCAAGAATTGAGTCAATATGTCACTTCTTGAATATTTAATTCTATTAAATTTCATCCAAAGTGCAGTTGCTCTAAGCGATAGAGCTACGAGCCAAATGATCTTTAACATATTCAACTTCAAATGACTCCAAGCACCCAACCACAACCCAACAACACCAACCTTTGCACCAAAAAGCAATATCATACTCTCAACCTAAAATGAAACAACTCATCTCTTTATTGATGATAACATTAAGGTTTGAGCGACCCATGTTCGTATCATTTCCACTTTCTTCAAAAAGATTCATCCTCGAATCTTACCTTACGAGTAACAGATGACCATATCAATTCTAGAAAAATTAAAGTTACCATCATTTAGGTGGCTAATAACCCAATTGACATTTTCAAATATTTTGTATCCAATGTCATCAAAGCTAAGCTTCAATGAACTAGACTTTCTACTACATGAATTGTCAACTCTAAAAAATCAATTGTAAGAACATCATCACTCTTGATCGACACTTTAATGGCAACGAACATCACACTCAATTATTCCTTCATTGGCGACTCTCATTAAGCCCCTCATCTTTGACTTAGGCTTTTTCTAATAATGCTCTCACTCACTTCGCCTTTTACCACTCAAATTCACACCTAGAGTTCTTTCTCAAACTAATCAAGAATTAAACAAATTTTTTTAAATGGCAAATAATGTGTTCAAATAACTTACAAGCCCTACTAGTGTAGTTTTCGATCGATTCAATCAACAAACCCAAACACTCAAAATGGATTTTTGGACCGAATTAAAAACCTCAAGCAAACTAAACCTAAGGACTTCCGAGACCGATTCTTTTAGATAGACTTGACAATTTTCCACAACTCGAATTGAATCACTTTATTTTAAATATCACAACTGGATTTTTTTGCTCTTTTTTTTTTAAGACAATTAAACTAGAATTAATGCACCTTTAGCTATTGATTTGAATAAGTTTGGATTAGAATACGATGGACTTAAGACCCACACTAAAAATCTAAAATTTATACCAAGATGCTACCGTCCAATGTTAATAAACGAATTATTTTCATTATTTTTTTTTAACATATACAATTACAATTGGACTAAAAGTTATATTAACTAAGAGTTCTTAAATCAATTATAAATGTCGGTAATGTGGATTTTGAGTACGGTAGCTAATATCACAAACGAAGAGTGGACAAGAAAATTTCGGAATATTGGACAAGACTTAGGCGGACTTATCAAAATCGGATTTGGACAAACTACTATGATAGAAATTTCAATTTCAAACTTTGGTCAATACACATAAAATTTGGTCTTAGACACACTACCAACTCCGAATGGATCAAAACAAAAATTGATAAACAACACAACAAGAATTGTCAAACAAATTTTTGGATTGAAACCGAGACGAAAAGACCATAAATTTTTTTATACAATTTTTGGACAAACACGTTTAGAATATACAAACTACAAAGGAATTAAAATTGATTAAAGACAAAGAACCTAATTGGAGTCATGCTCGATACCAAATGATGCAAACTTACCTAGCTCGATGGCTAAAGAACCCACAATCAAATCGAAACGATCTCTAAAAAGCCAAAAAAGTGCGAAGGATATGAATGCCACACTTTAGATAGGTAGAAGGAAAGTGATATGTCTCTGAACGTCACAAGAACTCTTGATAAATTTGGGTGAACGCCATAAGAATATGAATTTCGATAAGTTCGATAGTTCTTGAGAGAACTAAAAAAGAAAGAATAATCTCATAAAATATTTTAATTGATCAAAGGTTTTTTTAATAATCTAAATTACATTATTTTGCCTTATAAAAGCTACTGGAATCCAAACCAAAACAAGGCATTTAAGTTTGCCTAAAATCCAATAAAACACATTAATTCAAGTCTCTTAAAATTTGCTAATCCGACTTGGAAAGATGTAATTAATAAATCTAGACCAAGAATTGAAGAACCAGCCATAAAGTTAGCCTCTTTAATTTTAAAAAAAAAAAAAAAGCTTAAAATTATGCAACCATTAGCTTGGGATTATGCACCATAATTTTGCTATAAATTTGGTCGAAGAATTGAGTCAATGTGCCACTCTTTGAATACTTAATTCGATTAAATTTCATGCAAAGTGCAATTACTCCAAGTGATAGAGCTATAGCCCAAAATGATCTTTAACATACTCAATCTAAATGACTCCAAGCATAAAACCATGACTCAACAATACTAGTATCCATCTATAGCCCAACAACCAGCCTTTGCACCAAAAAACAATATCATGCTCTCGACCTAAAATGAAATAGCCTATCTCCTTATTGATGATAACATTGAGGTTTGAGCGACCCATGTTTGTATCACCTTGCTTTTGATGAATCAATGTTATTTTCTTATTTGGTTTTAGGTTGGTAAGAGATCTCCGTCAAGGCTCGATATCTTTGTCCTAAGTTAGATAGATTTGTATATATAACTAAATAACTAAAGGTTACGACTAGTTGGATTAATCCATTAATTGGCTTATTCAAATAGAACATGGACATATCTTTATTAGGTAGTGTCTTAAGAGATCATTATGGGAATTTTTTTATGAATTTTCTCCATTTCTATAGAGATCAAAGATTCAAATTAAGTGAAGTTATATTCTATTTAGAAAAAATTAGAAATTAGTATTGCTTTGCTTTTAGCTTTTCAAGTCATATAGATTGTAGATTTCAACTTAGATATTGTTATTGCTTAGACATATGAACCTTAATTTGATATATCCTAAAAGTTTTATAACATTTTTAATGTCATCTCTAATCTAATTTTATGTTTAAAATATGTCACTTTTATCCATATGTTTAGGAAAAGAAACTTTGTAGCCGATTCTTTGGCTAAGTTTAGTCTTCATAGATCTAATGAGTTCTTAACTTGGTTGCAATCTCATTTTGCTAGCTCCTTATCGACTTCATTAATACAATCATCAATTTCTATTTTCTTATAAAAAAACAAACAAACAAATAATAACAAACTAAGAAATTAAGCATGCCCTTTTGTCTTTTGTAAATAAGAATATTATCAGCATAAAGAAAGCTAACATACACATAATGAAATGAATTTGATTGAATATTTCGACTAAAGAAGTACAAGGGACTAAATTCTACAAGATTAATAGATGTAGATTTAAATAATTATTTATTGTTCATGCATAAATGAAATTCTTAATAGTTTATTTAAATTCAATGATGTAGATTTTATAAACATCATCTCTATGAGTTGAATTTGAATCCAATTAGGATGAGTCTATAAAAACTTGTGCAATAATGAGAGTGATAAGGCTTGTTATGGCTAAATATGAACAGAATAGATGGCTAAAGTGCATATAATCCTCTACATCATGTAACTAGTCCTCCTAATTGATTTAGGAGTCCTTTAATGATCAATTTAGTAGTTAGAGAGTAACGAGATAGCTTGATTAGGCTTTTACAAAATGTTATGTGTTTGTAAGTGATGAAAAAGATTACTAGTAGGTATTTTAGAGGTGTAGAGAAATGTGAAGTTGAAAATTATGATTCTTATATAGATGAAACTTTGACAATTTACGTGGTAAAAATGGTAGAATTATCCATTTGACTTGATGTTAATGGCTTTAGTCAACAACGGTGGTCCGTAAGTATGATGTGATTCACTTCGTGATGATATCACTCGCTATTATTATGAGTGATGATTTAACTAATGTTGTCTTAAACGAGAATCTCTATTAAATGTTTTATCCTCCTTACAAATGAGAGGTCGATGAGTTGGACTTTTCTTATTCGGGTTAAGTATCCTAGGTTGTGGAGGCTTCGATTATTATTTAGGTGTTGTTTGGTAATCGGGAATAGAGTGCTGGGAATAGAAATAAAAGTTTTATTTCCACATTAGTAATCGCTTGGCTAAAAAGAATAAAGTGGAAATGAGAATGAAAATTTACACACAACTTCATTTCCACATAAGATGTGAGAATAAAAATAAAAAATAGAAATGAAATTTTTTTAAAAAATAATAATATATTTTATTTATTTATTATCTATTAACTACTTTTATCACCACCATCACAACCACCACTACCACCATCACAATCACCACCACCATTATCATCACCACCACCATCACTACCACCACCACTATCGCAACCACAACTAGAACCACCACTGCTATAACCACCACCATCATTTTTATTATTTTTACAACCATTATAGTTTGATAAAATTATTTTTTTAATCATTATTTTTATTTGTATAAAAAAATCAGATATTAAAAAATTTAAATTGCATTCCGATTCTTCATTAGTATTTCAAACACGGTATGAAAATACAAATGCTATTTCGATTCCTTAATTTTCATTCCGATTCCTACATTTTCATTCCTACCACTCTATTCCCGAGTACCAAACAAGCACCTTAGAGGATGGTTAGTTCTTAAGGGGCCTTGTGTGTGATTAGCTTAGCAAAGTACGTG